AAATCAAGATACAACTCCGTATACAATTTTTGCAAGTGTTGAAATACATTACAACTACTAGAACTAGAGAGTTTACAATTTTTGCAAGTGTTGAAATACATTACAACAAGAGAACTCTCACCGTTTTGCAAAGTACCTCTCAAGTTGGTATACACTAGAGACCAATAATTTTAGATTGATGCAAGTGCCATTACAAAATTGTACAATCAAATGCTTACAAACCGAAAAATCATCGAGTATACACCAACCAACATCAATATATCTTCTCTGTAGCACGCACACCATTATTAATTTTCACAGCAAAAATCACAACTCAATCTTCTTTCCATGCTCAAGTCATAAAATAATAACACACAATATAAAAGGCTCTCTCGTTGTACTTCATTTTCGGTAGACTTGAATGGTCCAGTTGTACTTAATTTTGGTTGATCTGTCATTAAAACTTGGAGAGGAGGCAGAATTGAAAAGAGGAGAGCTCGGAACAGAATCTGTGAAGATTGGTTCCTCTTTTCTTTTCCAAAGGTGTCCTGTAAATAAGATAAAGGCGCCTAACTATTGAGATATACTACCATTTCGAAGTTTAAATGACCTCATGAGAATGTGGATTCAGCACCGCCGTGATCACTGCACAAGATACACTACCAAAGGTGTCCCAAAAATGAATGTAGGTTTCTGCCTGCTCTCATAAATCTTCTTGTAGTCCAAACTCTTGAACTCATCACATTTGTGAGAATGCAAATTCCATGAGCTCCTTTTGTAGCCTCATAAGCATTCGGTCTGGTAGTCATTAATCTTGATAACCTGTTTCCAGTAGTTTGCCACCTCTGGCAATCCATTGAACTCGCAAAATTCATTGCTTGGTGCATTTATTCTGAGCGCATTTGGTCTGACCTGAGCAAGAAATGAAATTGCAACTCAAATTGAAAAAAAAAATAAGCTGTGAGGAAAGGACGCTGAATAGCTATTATCTCAAAACATTAATCAAGAGGACAATATTGCACAATACATGATACAATAGAATTCCGGGAATGACTTCAAACAAGAAATATAGAACATATGTTAATTTCCATGAAACAAAATAATCTGCACATAGGACAAGCAACCCATCACTTTGAACCAACGAAACATGCATGTTTCATGACTACGTATAGCTCGGAAATAAGCAACAACTAACCAATTTCCAAATGCTCACTGATCCCAAATTCCTAACTGATCCCAAAATTTTAACAAACACAAATAATTTGTCCATGAAATTAACAAAAAAACTAACTGATCCCAAATTCCTAAATGATCCCAAAATTTCAACAAACGCAAAGGCACCTACAATCAAAAACTGAAACAGTGGAATTTCAACAAACGCAAAGGCACCATACATAAGAACTTAACTTGATTGCAAAAATATGATAACAAGTTGAATGAGATTGTTCTATATATGGTTGACTTGAAGGAGATGAACAAGTGGATGTCAATGGAAAGTGGTAGTCGGTGATAAAATCAAATTAAATTGACTCATTAATGATGATCACGTAACAAATTACTAATACGAACTCCAACATCACTCTATATTTTCCTTATTAACTTCTTTCTATAACACTTCTTCAGTAAATTGGGCAAAAAAAGAGTGTAAGACCCGTATTACCTAGACTAATATATACATTGAATAATAATAATTTCACGAAATAAACAATGACATGTTTGACTATGAACTGAATATAAGAGAAATAAGTTACCACATTATTAACAACTTAAACCCAAAAACTGAAATCAATACTTCATGCAATTTACCTACTAATAGGAAAGCGGTGAAATTGACGGTGAAGCTCCCCGAACGCCTCCCTCATCGAAGACCTCGAATGCCTCCCTCATCTCCGTGTACACATCCGCACCCCCGAGGGGATCCCCGCCTACGGTGCCGCTCCCCATCGGAGGAGGAGGAGGAGGAGGAGGAGGAGGAGGAGGAGGAGAGGGAGGGGTTTTGGAGACGGAAGGAGGAGGAGGAGGAGGAGGAGGAGGAGGAGGAGGAGGAGTCTTGGAGGGGGAAGAGGGAGACAGGAATTTTGGGGATCTGAATGGGGTCACGAGAGAGATGGAGCATTTTTAATGAAAGCGATGGATTTTTTTCAAAAACCACCCTGCGGACGAATTTTAGGCGGAATGCGTACGCGTTTGTGCGTACCTGAAATGCATAGTCCGGTTCTAGTGCGCACAAATGCGTACGTGTTTATGTGCTGCAGGGGGGTTTTTGAAAAATATCCACCCATTTTAGCCTCTCGTGACCACTCTTTCTCGTGACCACTATTCCCTAGAGAACTCCCCAGACCATCACCCTCTCTCTCCCCAAACCCTCCTCCCTCTCTCTCTCTCCAAACCCTCACCCCGTCGGAGACCCTCCCTCCTCCCTCTCTTGACACCGTCGTCGGCGCATTTCCACCGTCGACCTCCTCCTCCGACTCCCCCCCCAACTCCCCAGGCCCTCGCCCATTTTCTGCGCTGCGGCGATCACGCCGTCGAGCTCCTCCTCCGTGATCTAGCCGTTGACCTCCTCCTCCGCCTTCACGCCTCCTCCTCCGCGATCTCGCCGTCGACCTCCTCAGGTGAAATCCCCATCCCGTCCCAGGCCAAAACGAGGTTCCTCTGCCCCCCTTCCTCCTCAGCGAGCCCCAACGCCGGCACGACACCGTCGCCGTGAGATCCCCTGTCCCAGGACCAGATCGAGGTCCCTCTGCCCCCCTCCTCCTCCGCTACAGGGTGTTTGTGGTACAAGGTGTTTTTGCTTTAAGATAAACTTGCTATGTCTATCTATTTATGAATATTGATGCATGTTGAGGAAATTTGAGTGTACTATGAAAGATATTGATGAAGTTTAGGTGGTGGTGGATTCTTTAAATCAGCTGTTAATGTCTAATGCTAACCATGTCTAGTTATGGCGGTCTTTTTTGTTGAGCATAAGGATGAAGGATGAGGTGTCCTGCACAATAAATTAAGAGATACTGAAAAGAGAGCAACTGCTTGTAGTTAATGGTTGTCAGCTATATTGGGAAGTACTTCTTTATGGTGTTAGATTTAAGGATGTGGAGGATAAGGATGTTGAGCTTCTAGTTCTAGTCCATGATCAATGTTTGGCTCTTAAGCATCAGCAAAAAGTTTGTTTCCATTAGAAGTTGAGTGATGAGTTTGGATGCTCATCTTTGTTGCTTATATAGCTTTAGAAAGCAAGAAAGACAATAGGGTAAGATAGTTTGATTTCAAGACAGGTGATATTAGTATAGAAATTAGATCTTTGGTGCAGTTGAGAATTCTGACTGAGTGATAGGTTTTTTGTAAGCTTGTTAGGCTACCAACATGCACTAGTACAAACTGCAACAGCCCCAACGGTTGTAACCGTTGGGGCTGATCGTGTCCCCAACGGTTAGAACCGTTGGGGCTGCTAAAACGCCCGTTGGGACAAATCCCGTTGGGGCTGATGGTGCCCCAACGGTTGAAAAACTTGCCCCAACGGTTACAACCGTTGGGGCAAGGAAATTTCTTTTTTTTTAAATAAAAATAAAAATAGGCCCCAACGGTTAGAACCATTGGGACCTTAATCAACCCCAACGGTTCTAACCGTTGGAGTCTTAATTAGCCCCAACGGGTACAACCGTTGGGGCAAGTACCTGATTTAAAAAAAAAATCAATTATGTTCAATATTAATCACTCTTAATAGAGACAAAAACACAATGCATACACACGAAAAGTATTAACAAAATATAAAATTTGTATTCATAAGCGTTAATCAAAACTGGGTTCTACTATACATCCAAATTTAAATGATTTGCGACAAGATTCTTTTTTTTCCAACCAAGCTAAGATTTCATTTAAAAGCAAAGAGTTACATGGTTACGCCTCTCATATTGAGAGCTAAGATTTCATTTAAAAGCAAAGAGTTACATGGTTACGCCTCTCATATTGAGAGCGAGCCTTTTCTGAAGTGAGGCGTCCCTCACTTTTACAAAAGATTAGAATATACATGTATGTGAGAATACAAAATTAAGCCATGTGAGCTATACTCTTAGACAGTTGATCCTCATACATGCTTTGAGCATTATACATTTCCAAAGCATTTTTATATGCAAAGACAACATTAGCAGGGACCCCATCCAATTCCTGAGTTCATATCGCCAGTGTTCCCTTGTTCCACCTCCCAAAGCCTGTAATTAACTAATTTGATTCTAAATTCACTAAGGGAATAGATAGTTGTTGATGGAATAAAGTACGTATCCGATCAATCTGTTTTGGTTTTTCCTGAAAGATAAAACAGTATAGTGATCAACAATTTTGTTCTGTTTAAACTACAAAGTATACTGACATATATTCACATATGAAACTAACCTCATTATTGTCATCACCAATTGTCAAAAAGATCGCTTGTTCATACTCTCTGTATGCTTCCCATATCTTGCCGACTTCAACCACATGCACTCCAACAGCAGTAAGAGCCCGGTCAAATAAGCTTCTCATTTTTAGGATGTCATCCGGTGCACATTGAGACACCAACTGATCGTATTCTTGAACAAAATTTAACTAATCACACAACGGCACATACTGCATGTAAATGAGGTCGATCACTCAACCTATAAATTACTTCAACAAAATTTATAGTTCAAATACATATAGTTTTATCTTAGAAGTTCAAATGGAAGTTGTTCTCTTCATGTGAATGAATATATTTGGAATAGTTCAAATACATATAGTTTTATCTTAGAACAGTGAGCCGCATATAAAAATAAACCCTATATGTAAATATAAACCCTGTGCAACAGGTTTACAAATAGGTGCAAGAAGATAGCATCTAATATATGAGTGTTGTCTTTGTCATATTTTCATTTTCTTACTCTATTTATCTGGTGGCATTCTGTGTGCTCATTAAACATTATGCTTTCTTTTTCTTGATCTTTTTTCTTATGTTTTTGTTTTTGTTATAATAAGCTTCTCTTTGTTTTCTTCTTATTTCATTTTTTTCTCTCTTCCGACAAAGCTGCATAATGGTTTCTCCTATTTTTATTTCGTTCTAGTTCAATCTCAATTGGTGTCGAAATTACAAATTATCCTTGGAAAAAGAAAAATTGTAAACACACTTATTTCAGAAATTATTATAAAGTCTGTAGCAATGAGAAAAGATATATACTACGAAAACCAGGAAACAAACAAATCGTATAGAAGTTAATTGAAAGAAAATTACTAATACCAACAATATAGAAGTCTTGCAGAAGCCCCAACATATGTCAGACCCTATAGAAAGAAACTGCAAGAGAAGGAGAAAAAAATTAAACAGGGGGGAGTTTTCTAAAAGATCTTGTTACACAAACATTCCAAATGAAAGTGCCTTTCCAGATATAGTATAGAACAGAAATTAAGGTGCAAACACAAATGTATACTTCATATGTTGTCTACTAGTTACTTGTGGAACAAAATGTACAGTAGCAGAAAGCTCCTTAGAGCTTTTTCACAATTCAAAGCTGTAAATTATAAGCGTAAGATATATTATTGAACTGGTAAAAGAAGTGAAGAAAAAGTGAGCAGATATGTAAGTATCTGATTTCAAAATGTCAAATATAAAAAAAAACTACATAAACTTACAATATATTATACTCAGGATAGCATGACATTGTTGCAAACAGAGTAGCACCTAATTTTTATAAAACTTTACAAGGTCATAAAATTTATGGGTTAATTAAGTATTCTTTATGACGTAACTTTTTATTGTTGCAGACTTGTCACGGATTGGGTTATTGCAGTGCTTGCTTTGAAATTCTTAGTGATGAGAATATAAAAGGGATCTAGACATGTTTCTTATGAGCAGAAGGCACATACATGGTAATATTTGTATAAACTCAAATATCAACACAAGTAATCATTATCGTTTTATCATAGTTCGATAAATTGACATTAGTTCACGTTCGATATAAATTAAACATGAACTTGATTTGCACAAGTTTTTTATTACCAGAAGGTACATACATGCTAATATTTATATTGACTCAAATTTAATTCAAGCAGAAAACATTACCTCCTATTTAAGGAAACTTCATCTTTGGCTCATTCCTCCCACCGTTATATGATTAACACGGAGAAATTTGTCAGACTTGCTTGTAGTATGATGTAAATGGATGGCCGCTACTCTACTCATGTATATATTACCTCTATGTCAATAACATACCTAGCAAATATTAAGGAGCACAATTTTGTATTAAACATAGGATGGTCATAGCATACTTTAGAGGTCGTGAAAAAGAAAATGGACACTGTTCAACAAGGTTACTAATCAATATGCAAAAGGTATAACTTGGGGGGGGGGGCGCTAGTGAATGTGCCACATGAGCTAAGATGGCTCTTACGGAAAAATTAGACATGGAACTGAAGCAATCAAAATTAGTGGCTGACTTTATGATGATGAGGTTCGTCAAATCTTGCTAAAATTAATAAGAATGTGTACATAAATAAAGCAATGGCATTGTGGCCAAGACTCTGAGGTGATTGTGTCCAAATTAATTTCCCGCACCAAAATTTCATATACTAGATAGATTATTCATAAATTCCTTTCTTTCTTTAGTTAATTTAAACATTCCAGGCTCAAAAAATCACCAAAAGAGGGTAAAAATTTAGAACAAACTTACAATTTATAAGGATCAGCTCCTGTGAACCTAGTCGGCTTCTCAATCGGAATCAATACTTACACATCCAATCAGAATTCACAACAAAATGGCAGCAGTCAATATTTTCAATGTTTTTGAACAGTCAATTGCTAAAGGTATCACCAAGGATAATAAAGATATGCAGGGCTTTGGTGCGTCAAAGCCTTGAATCTCAATCTCAGTGAATAGTTGAAAATTCCCTCAAAACACCTCAACATTTTTATCTTCCCATTTCTCTTCATTTAAGACATCTTCACAGACATTAAGCACAAATAAGCTAATCAATCTAGACTCAAATAATCAGTAACAATCGAAAAAAAACCCCGAAAATCTGATCAATTACCCTATAAACGAAAAAAAAACCCGATTACAAAATCTGATCAATCGTACCTCACGATTAACTGCAAAGATCGGGCAGTGGCGGCCGATCACATCGTGCCAAACCGTTCTCAACTGAAATCACACATTGTCGATAAAAAAATTAAAGTGTAGAAGAGAAGAACCGACGAAAAGGAGAGGATTAGGGTTTTGAGACGTTACTCCGTGGTATTGGCCGGCTTTGCTCTTGGGGATGATGTCTCCAGCCCTGTAGGCGAGAGAGATGGGAGTAGATTTGAGATCGAGAGGATGAAGAAGAGGAGAACGAGGGTTTGGGTTTTTTGATGTGTGAGAGAGACAGAGAACGGGGCAGGTGTGGGGGGTTTTTGTTTTGTTTTTTCAAATTTCGTCAAAATAAAGGGGGGAAATTTCCCTCTGTTCTGTTTTTTGGCTAAAAGAACTTGCCCCAACGGTTAAACACCGTTGGGGCTTGTGCGACCAGCCCCAACGGTTGGACACAACCGTTGGGGCTGAACCTCTTTTTACTAGTGATGGATAGCATGACTGGATTATATCCTTTATGGAAACATGTAATATACTGACCATGTTTTCAAGCTTCATGTCTTTGCAGTTTTTTATTTTATTTTTTTACAGAGCTGTTTTCCATTAGTAAGAAATACTGCTTTCACACAAACAGTCACCCTGCTAGGAAAATGGATGCTTACAACTCTTGGACAACCTTAAATTCATGAACTGGATGCTTGTGTCATGTCATCCTATATAGGAACCCTGTGAATCCTCTGAAAGCACTCAGAATAGTTCCAAGAAGAGGAAGGTTGATGAGTTTTCATTTCATTTCAAAAACATAAAGACCCGAAACCAACTCCTGCCATTGAAGAGCCGCGTATCCTATGCTGGACCACTTCCAAAGATGCAGCAGCGAATCCTGCAAATGAAGAGCCATGCTTTTCAGGTCGGGCTACTGAAGCACCATTAGGTCTAGAAATATTTAAAGTAGCTCCGACCAATCACAACCTGGTTGGCGATGCTCAAGCTGAGTCCTTAGGTCTAGAAATATTTAAAGTAGCTCCGACCAATCACAACCTGGTTGGCGATGCTCAAGCTGAGTCCTGTGCTATGAATGAGAGCAACAAGGCAACTGAAGCACCAAAAGAGCTAGAGTTGGTTGACCATTCTCACAGACACGCACCATTTCTTCTGGATGCAGAGCAGAGTGTTGTGGAGAGAGGCATTTGTTTTTTTCCTCATTGCCCGATATCTGGTGTTCTATGCATTGATCAGTTGTATATAGCATTTGTTTGGGATATGCCCCCATTCTATATTAATATTATCTACAATTTTTGCACCTGCATGTCTACTTTTATGTCTACTTTGTATTGTGTAATTTCCAATTTCAGATCAAAATGAGTTATCAATTGGAATTTTGGAACTGATAACTGTCTTGATGAAGTTCGGATGATAAAATTGCTACCATGATTTGGATTGTCCGACTAGAAAATTTTGTAAAGAAAACGCATGATATGCTATAGTCATCCTATTTTATAAAATTGCTACCAGGATCCATGAATTCAGATCTACAATATCTGAATTAACCAAATCCAAACACATATATTGACAGTAGATCGTCTCCAACTTGTACCAGTCATATATGTAAAAACATCATAAATAATTACTTGAGAAATAAACAGTTTCAATTTTTCAACGCCTACACAGGATAATTTTTCAATGCCTTCACATATGAAAAAAGGGCAGTTGGCCATGTTTCATAAGCTTACACAAATAAGCAACAAACAGCAAAGATTCGAAGAGAGTATATACACAAATCGCAAAGCTAAGGCACAAACAAACAATCACCGACCAAACTAAATCTTTTGAGGCTGGATCATCTCCCCTTCTCCATCGTTCATAAGCTTATCAAGCACCACATTAAGGTCCATCGACTGTCCATTCTCTGTCCCAAATGCTCCTTAATTGCGGCCATATTTGTAGCCTTCACTTGTTTTCTTTTGATCGTTATCTCTTTTGCTTCGGCTCGGAGTTTGGTCAGTTGGGCTAGCAGAACCTCTGCTGCTTCCTGTATTTGCAATCCTAGGTCAGCAACAATTTCCAATAAGAATCATAATCTGATAAAATCAGGAACTAGAACAAATTATTTTCTAATATGAATTCTTCCTCATGAATCAGTACAAGCTCTGTCAGCAACAATTTCCAGCAAGTCGGTACGCATTTGAAGTCAAGTTGTTCGGCCAAGGAGAGAGAGTTGGTCGGAGGCGGAGGAGAGAGAGTTGGTCGTCGGCGGTGGCGAGAGTTGGTCGGTGTCGGCGGAGAGAGTAGGTCAGTGTCGGCGGAGAGAGATTTACCCACTGGGGAGCTTATCGACGAAAGTGAGAAGCATGCCGAGCTTGCTTCCGTCGTTGGAGGCGAGGCCTGCATGCATCTCGACGGTCATCGCGCCCACCACCTGCCTCAGCCTCGACATCAACATCGAGCATCCCTCCTCGAACTCCGCGAGAATCTCGAGGATCCTCGACCATTTCCGGCGATTCTTGACTCGTTTGGTCACCAGGATCCCGGCGATCGTGAGGGAGAGAGCGGCGCAGCCCACCGCTATGCCGAAGCCCACCCGGCCCATCGACGATTTTGGGGAGAGAGAGAGAGAGAGAGAGAGGCTGAAAGAAATGGTCACGGGGCTTAAAAGATCGCTGTTGATTTGTTTTTTTGCAAAAAAACCCCAAGCGGACCTCAGATGCGCACGCACAATCCGCACTTGAAACGTACTGTATATATATATATACAGAGCATTTCAGGTACGCATAACTGCGTACGCATTCAGCTAAAAATATGTAAACAGTAAGCGATTCAGGGTGAGCAAGGGTTCATTTGCAAAAATCCAGCGCCTTTGTTAAAAAAATCTCTCTCGTGAACCTGGCTCCTCCCCCAAAAGACCTGTCACTGTCACCTCCTTCTTCTGAGATCTCTCTTCTCTTCTCATCTCACATCTCTTCCCCTCACTTCCCACTCCGCCCACGCCCGCCGCCTGCGATCCCCATTGCCGCCGCCTTCATCCACGCTGGAGGTAAAGCAAGGTGAAGATGGGATATTTCTGTGCCAGAGGAAGTATGCAGAGGACTTGCTAAAGAAGTTCTCAATGGAGAAGTGTGAAGCAACCAGAACTCCCATGAACACAAATGAGAAGCTCCAGAGAGAGACAAGCTAGCGTGCATATTAGTCCGACGGTGTTTTTTGGATTATTACAATAGTTTTGAGGGTCCTCTCCAATTGTGAGAGATTATTATCCATACATATTTTGCTACTTCCCATTTTATGCTGATACTGTTGTTTTTACCCTCTCTACTTTAGTTATCTTGTGCCGGATGATCCGGAAGAGATTGTGGGCAGCAGGAGTTCGATTGAGATGTTGCATAAGATTGCGGGGGCGGTTTCGAGCCATTTGAGGAGGGAGGGAGGGGCGGAGGTGGTGGCGGAGCAGGTTTGCTTCTTGCCGTGCACGGAGGACGGAGTGCCCGTGATCGGAGAGGTTCCTGGGGTTGAGGGGTGCTTTGCTGGGACCGGGCATAGTTGCTGGGGGTTATTGAATGGACCTGCAACCGGAGCTGCGCTGGCTGAACTTGTTTTGGATGGCAAGTAGAGCATCGTCGACTTGACCCTGTTCAGCCCCTCGAGATTTCTTCGTCTTCGCACACGAGAATAGAGGGTTCCCGATGATTTGTGGATGGGGACGACGCTAATGCTACTTCTCCGTTAGTTTTTCAAATTTTCACAGAAATATCACGGGGAAATGCTGGTGAGTATATGATCATATGATCTTCACATGATCTCTAATGAGATAGAACATGGACGATAAATACTTGCATCCCTAGCATGATACATGGATAGTTCGTCTGCAATTATCTGCGATTAGCCGTAATAAGAGTGGTGTTGTGAGGTGAGGTACATGTAATTTGGTTACTTTGCTTTGGAATCTAAGTACAAGTTTACTCTCTTTATGGACTCAAAGGAGAGTGTCAGTCTCCAGTCTTTCTGTTTCCTGCTCAATGGTCTTCCTTTATTCTGAGCGTCTCTGTTTTCTCTTACATTTGCGAGCTTCCAGGTACATTGTTGCGACTCCATGTCAAGTGAGTCGAGGAGGAAAACCTTTTCGGCGTGGTTTTGGTTCTTGGTGTCCGTTTTGTCTTCAACGTATGAAACCAACATTGGCATATCTTTAAAGCGATCGAGATCATCAGGTGTTCTCAGTAGCCGCTCTGCTCCCGGAGATGAAACCTGAATAAGGAAAACATAAGTAAACTGTAATAATTGAAAACTTTGTTTGGGTTTCAATATGAAGTATCTGTAATAATGAAGCTACTATATATTCGTGTATTCGCATATTCACATATTCGCGAATTAGAACATCAGAATTAGTATACAAATGGAAATGTATTCTGTTACAAAATATTTCAATTAGTTACAATGATGTACGATGTGCAAGCAAAATGTACCTTTTCCCACCTATTGTGTTGGTTTTAGTCCTAATCTTTAGAGAAATTATAAAAGCAACTCAATAAAAGGAATAATACTGGGCAAAAACCCTTTGCTACTTCAACTTTTACAGTTAACAGAGATACAAAGCACAAAACAGAGTTATTGAACTCCATACATCGAATCAATGCCCATATCAATTAACATGGCAAGTACTTACAGGTAACTTCAGACTCTCATTGGACCAAGTCATCCTCGTCCTCAAACCAGAGTACGTTATACGTCAACCGAAAGTACATGATCAAGTACAAAATTACAAAAATAATCAAGTAATGCATGATTGCATTTAACAAAATAATATGAATGCCAAAAGAACTAAGACCAATAGGAAGACATTTTGATCATACTTCTCTATGCTAGACACATACACAATCAACCAGTCTTTTTCCTCGCTCTAGCTCCTCCAGAGTGACGAACAAAGAAAGCTGTTTTACCTTAACATCAATCAGAATGAAGTTCCGGATGTCATTCTAATATTATTATACATATACCTTAATCTCTTATTTGCATGGAAGCATATAAGCACAAACTGCACTCTCCTCCCTAATAACCAAAGAAAATTCAAGTACATAGAAATAGCCAACACTATCACAAACACAAGCATGAGCTAATTAAACTTCTCTTTCTCTCTATTCTATTGCTAATAATTAGGCTTCATATGCTAGTCCTGCTTCGCTCCCAATAAGTGCCTAGTGGTCCTCTCATTCCTAACTGTGACCTCCTCCTCCCGGTTCCACAAGTGTGGCTCACGTGCATGCGGCCGCCCCTGCGCTGCACTCTTACTTGCTCTCTCGGCATATTGGATAAAAGAAACCGCATAAAGAAGAGATATAATTAAAAGAAAATGGTTAATTGCGGCGTGGACGAGGCCGGCGGGCTGGGTGCAGCGAGGGTGGCGGGGTAAGGCGTGGGACGAGGGCGGCGGCGTGGCGCGTGGACGAGGGCGGGGCGGGTGGCGTGGACGAGGGCGGGGCGGCGTGGCCGCCGAGAGCGAGTAGGGGCGGGCGTGGGCCGTGACGAGGCGCCGGGCTGGGTGGAGAGGGTGGGCGGGGGTGCGCGTGGACTGAGGGCAGAGTGGGGAAGTGAGGGGAAAGAGATGTGAGATGAGAAGAGAAGAGAGATCTGCAAAGAAGAAGGAGGTCGAACAGCTGAGCAGGATCTTTTGGGGGAGGAGCCGGGTTCACGAGAGAGATTTTTTAACACAAGGCGCTGGATTTTTGGCAAATGAACCGCTTGCTCTCCCTGGATCGCTTACTGTTTTACATATTATTGTAGCTGCAATGCGTACGGCAGTTATGGGCGTACCTGAAAAATGCTGCTGTATATAATTATACAGTACGTTTCAAGTGCGGATTGTGCGTGCGCATCTGAAGGTCCGCTTGGGGGTTTTTTGTGGGCAAAAAAAACAAAATCAACAGGCGATCTTT